TTCTAATAACAGCACCTTCACTTTGCTTTTGAGGCCACATTTTTCCTCCTCAGGCCCCGAGAGGACTTCCAAAATATTCATGATATTCTATAGTTTAACCTGGAGCATAGGAACATGAGTGTTCATGTTATTATTTTTTAAGCCATATATTAATAGATACATTTTATTCTTTAGATTAAAGAGGTGCATTTTATATACTTTGGATATAGATTTCACAGTTCAAACGAACATACTAAAACTTCTTTTCTCCACGCTCTGAAGGGTCAGGTCTGAGCCAGCCGAGTTACAAAGATTGGCTTCGGCGCGTGACCCAGTTTGGGTCCATGAGACACCAAGCCAAGCGTTCGCTGGAACCGTCAGGAAAGAGGTGCTCACTTTCTGCCTAGCCGTGAAGCTTGTTTGTATAACATATCCCTTCCCTAAGGATAAAGCTAACACAGAAGAACGCGGAGACAACAGGAAGGTGGCAGATCCCGGACATCACCTGAACACCTAGTTCCAGCCATCCCTGAAGCCAGACACCTGGGGCTCTTTGACAACACGAGCCAATGGGCCTTAGGTGTATGGCATTTTAATTAAAAAGAAACCTAACCCAGTAGTCTATCAAATAAAGGGATATTCTCAATTCAACAGCCTGTATGATCCTTTTCAACACATAAGCCAAGCCATGCCCTCCTCCTGCTCAAGACCCTGCAATGTCTCTCAAAGTAAAGCCTCGGGGTGGCTTACCAGGCCCTACACAGTCTGCCCCCATCGCACCGTACCGTACCGTCAGCCTGTGACTTTCCATTGCTCACTCTGCCCTAGACACACCAGGCCTCTGGGCTATATGACACCCCGAAAGTGTGCCTTCGGGCCCCTGCTTTGGCTTTTCCCTCCACCTCGACACTCCCCCAGACATCCACTCACAAACTGCCTCACTTTTTTCACGTCTCTGCTCCAATCTCCGGTTCTCAATAAGGCCTACCTGCATCCCTACCCCCACGGCCAGTGACCCTGAACACTCTCCTCCCTGCCCGCTGCTTCTTCCTTCCACAGCACTTATTACACGATACAGCGAACGTACCCAACGAGGGCGAGAGGCAACTGGTTGATTCATCTCAAGTTCCTAGAACAGCGTCTGACTCTTAGCAGGCCCTCACATATTTACTGAGTGAACAAATAAAAAGGCATGAGTCTCCAAGGGGCAGAACTGGGCTCGTGGAGAGAAAGGACACCAAGTTTTACCTCCTAAACATGATGTGCGTGGAGTACGGGAGGAAGACACCTCCATTTCAAAGACTTCGGGGGAAGCAGGGACCTAAGAAGGCTGGAAGAGTTCGGTAAAGAGGTTGAGGATGTGGGCAGGGGTGTTCACCACCATTGGGGCTTAAGAGGGGTTGATGTGAAGTTTGGGGATGCACATGGGAACTGGAGACCGAGTCAGGGGAGAAGCAGCCCAGAGCGGTTTGCAGGTGAAAGTTAAAAAAAAAAAAAAAGAAGAAAAGAAAAGAAAGAAAGAGAGAGTGCCAGCGCACGAGATGGACCAGTGGTTTGCTAACATTTTAGCTGTTAGAAGGATGTAGTGATAGAAGGCCTGTTGAGCTAAGCTAGCTTTAAAAGACTTAGCCTTAGCAATTCTTGGTAGAAAGGGTCCCTCCTGTTACTCCATGGCTTGAAAGATTTTAGATTTGTGGGTGGAGAGGCCATGGTCATACCCCAGGGGCCATTCAGACCTGCCTGCTGGACCGGGACACACGGCATCCCTGCTCCTGGCACCATCCTGGGCCCACAGAAACCAATCCCCTCACGCAATGTCATAACCCTGCACTGTACGCAGCCTGCCCAATCCTCATTCTCCAAGCCCAGCGCTGACTCTGAAGCAGGCATCCAGGATCACAGCCCTCATATCCAAAGAGCCGAGAGAACAGGCTTCTTTTTTTCTTGCTTATTTATCTTCACCCGATGATATTTTTTCATTGATTTTTAGAGAGAGTGGAAGGGAGGCGGAGAGACGGAGAGAGAAAGATCAACATGAGAAAGACATACCCATTGGTTGCCTTCTTTATGCACCCCGACCAGGGCCAGGAACCCAGTTGCGTGCCCTCGACCGGAATGGAACCCAGGACCCTTCGATCCGCATGCCAGCGCTCTATCTCACTGAGCCAAACCGGCTAGGGCAGAATAGACTTCTTTTTTAAAGACAAAGCGGAGCACTCAGTGTTCCTACCTGCCCTGCATGCTGCCCAAGCAAGAAAAAGCAGGGCAAAGGGAAGCAAGCCTGCCTTCCACTGGTCCTGATTCACCTTTGATGCTTGTCAACTTCCCTCTGCAGAAATGTCTCCAGAGTTATGAAAACATATGTGCACATGCCAAGATTCAAGGAAAATGTTACTCCCAGAGAAACAAACCATATTGCTTAGCCTCTAAGGAAAAGTGAGTTACTATACATCAGACCCTTGGGAATGATGTCATTTTGGTGTTCCTTACAATTCTAAGGAAACTTATTAAGTATTCGATAATTATCCCTGGCCATTGTTCTCAGTGGTTAGAGTGTCGGCCAGGGTCTCAGGTTCAATTCCTGGTAAAAGGCACGTGCCTGGGTTGCAGGTTTGATCCCTGGCCCTATCGATGTGTTTCCTCTCTCTCTCACTCCCGCCCTCTCCCCCCTCTACTCTTTCTTAAAAAAATCAATGGAGCCAGGCTAGTGTGGCTCAGTTGGTTGAGCATCATCCCATGCACCAAGACGTCATTAGTTTGATTTCTAGTAAGGGCACATGGGTTGTGGCTCAATCCCCATGGGAGCATGCAATTGATGCTTCTCTCTGATGTTTTTCTCTCTCCCTTTTTCTCTCTAAAAATCAATTAAAAAAAAATTTTTTTTTAAGAATCAATGGAAAAAATATCCTGGGGTAAAGAGCAACCAAAAAAAAATCAATAATTAATAATAAGGCCTTCAAGACTGTCTCTCCCATATAACTGTCTTCGTAAAAGCAGCCAGCATAAATTGAACTTGATCCTGACCTCCTGTCCATCAACAAGATCTTGGTTGTACAGGGCATATGTCCTCCCAGTACTTAGTAGTAAAATGCCCACACCTCTGGGTCAGGTGTCCTCCAAGAGTGGACCATTAAGCAAGTATTTAAAATAGCCATCTGGAGTAGCCATCAGCCAAGATGGCCTCTAAGACCCCTAACTTAATGTTGCCCCTCAGTTCTGTGACTTTAAGTGAAACTACATATAATGAAGCCATTGCTAATTATATAAACGACAGTGCCTATATTCATTCATACCCTCTTCCCACAGAATGTGGCAGAGGCCTGTATGTCACTTCCAGGATTAGCTTATACAAGATTGGGGATTGAGTCTTGGGCTCTCTCGCTTGCTGGAATCACTTGCTGGAAGAGACCAGTTGCTATGCCCAATGGATGTTCACTCCCCATTTCAGCCTTCAGATGACACAACACTCGTCAACAGCTTGGTGGGAACCTCATGAGAGACCTGAGTCAGAACCACCCAGCTACACTGCTCCCTGATTTTTGGCCCACAAGAACTATTTTCAGGTGCTAAATTTTGGGGTAATTCATTACACAGCAATAGATACATTAATTCGCAATCCTACATGGACCCGAGATGGAAATCAAAAGATGTAACCTCAGTTCCTAAACAACATACAAATAGGACAATTACTCTTTCCATGAGAAAGCAACAAATGATTCTGTCATTTCAACCATTTCTATTGAGTGGTAAATACGAGGAAGGTATTTCCAACCTACATAAGCCTTCGTATAGTTTATAATCTATAAAATAAAGAAAGACAAAGAGCCATTCACACACACCTCAAGTTGCTCAATCCACTGGCTTCATGAGCTTTTTAAGTCTTCTTGCTCCCAATGCTTTCTCCCTGACTCCTCGCTCTTTGCTTTTGCAAACCCTCTCAGGAAGGTATGTCAAACACCCGCCCTGGATATTCTGAGTGCTCAGTGCAGGCATGCTCCTTTTAATTGTACCACATGCCCTCCGGTCTAACGGGGAAAGAAAAGTTAGGTCCCTAATGTCACTTAGTAGTAGAACAAGAAGGAATCCATTTCATATTTTACTTAGGAGGAGGAAATCCTGGTCACAAGCGTTGAGAACAATTCTAATTTCTGCAACTAGTAATACATGTCAACCTAAAACGCTGGTACAATCGCGGCTCCAGCCCTGGTCACAGCTGCAATGGCGACGGGGGAGCGGGACTGCGGCCCCTCACCCGCCGCTCCATTCTGCTGTCTCTCGAAGCAGCGGGAGGGCTGCGCTGCTCAGAGAAAAATCAGGAGCCTCTCTCTGCACAAAGAAGGTCAAAGGGCGGGCTTTCTTTCCCTCGACCACAAAACCAGCGTCTGCCAAACCTAAATAGTGTGGGAGGCCTTCAGAGGTGAAGGGAGCCCAGACAGAAAACCACAGCTGGGTCTCCTCCCGCCGCTGGGGTCTGAGTCAGGTGACTTCGCAGGGCACACAACAAACCTAAACAAAGATCCTGCCCACATGACAGGCGGGGGGAGAGGATGGGCGCAGAGAGCGAAGCTGCCCGGACCTGCTGCAGAAAACCATTAGCTCGTACCTCTTGGCAGCCCCAGCCAGCCGGGGGGGACCTCCAAGTTACTTTGCAGCTCAGCCTTCGGGGATGCACCGGGAGGAACTCGGGACCCCATCCCAGGGCACAGGCGCCGAGTCCTGCCCGCAAGCCTCCGGGCCCTACCGGCAGGCGGGACCCCTCCCACCAGCCCTCACCAGCCTGGCAAGCCCGTGCCCTCCGCCCGCTTCCCCCGCAGCTGCGACCCCCACGGGGGCGGCGGAGAGGAAACGCCTTTTCCAAAGGACAGGCTCTGGGGGGCGAGGGACCGGCCGTGCCCCTTTGCCTCCCGCCCCCAGGGAGGGGGCACCAGGGTGGGCGCGGCCCGATGCCCAGGGGAGCTGGTGCCCACCACCCCCTCTGGGAGAGCCACGACCCTCCCGATCCCCCGCTCAGCGCGCCCCACCTTGTCGCCGAAGCTGCGGGCCGTCAGCAGGTCCGGGCTGGGCGTGCTGTCGCCGCCCACGGCCTCCTCGCTGCTGGAGCCGGCCAGCGGGTGCGGCATGTCGCGCAGGGAGTGGGGCCCCGTGGACGGCAGGGCCTTGGGGAGCCCGCCCGACATGGCGAGCAGCGCCCGGGACGCGCGGCGGAGGCCCCGCTCGGCTGCAGCTCTGACACAGGCCCTGCACCCGCCGCCGCCGCCGCCGCCTCTCCGCCGCGGGGCTGGGCCGGGCCGGGCCGGCTGCTCCGCGCTGCGCGCCCCCGCTCCGCGCCGAGCCCCGCGGCCGCTCGCACCTTGGCCGCTGGCGGCCGGCCAGCTCCGCCACGCCGCCCAGCCCGCCCGCGCCCCGCCCCGCGGCGCCGGGCCACCCACCCGGGAAGGAGGGGAGGGAACACGGGGAACCGGAGGAGGGAGGACGGGAGGCGGCAGCTCCGCCCCGCAGGAAGTGCGCCCGGAGCCCGCGGCCTCGGCCCTCCTGGCCTCCAAGCTGGCCTCCGAGAGCCCGGCGCGTGGAGGCTGCGCGCTGTGCCCGGCGCGGGTGTTTAACGGAAATCGGGGCTGGAAGAGACGTTGGAGGGGCCTGTTCCATTCCACCCGCGTTTACTGGTGCGCCCACGGGCAGCCAGGCTTGGAGATGGGGGTTTTGGAGCACGCACGTGGGTCGGGGTCTTCTGGCCTTTAACCCAAAATGGAAGGAATTAGGAGCCACAGTAGGAATGGCATAAAGGACTATTATTAGGCTCTAAGGAGAGAACAAACAATTGAAGGAGATGATCTAGGGTTTCTTCAAATACACGCTGAGACCCCCGTGCCATCTTGCGTCTGCAGCTAAGCTGGGTTTATGTAAGTTTAAACCTCATGAGTGAGCATCTGTAAGAGAGGGAGTGCTTTTAAACTCACACCTTGACTGAACTGAAGCTTTTTGAAAGAACAGTGAGATTTAAGCTCCTATTCATGCTTTTGTGCTTTCTTCCAGGCCTTTGGCTGAGCTGGATCCTCAGCTTCCTTTGCTTGCAGAGTGGAGATAGGCAGGCATCGCTTCAGCCACGTGGGGTGGAAGTTCACTTCCTTTCCCACCTTACCTGCCTCTGCAGCGTTTGCTCTTAGGCCAAGTCAGTAAGGCTATCAGTCCAGGCCAGAAGGAATCAATACGAACAATGTAACAGGTAGGGTGGCTTATTGTGAGGGAGCCCATTTTTCCCATCTGTTCCCAAACTATAGGTTTGTCCCGTTTCACCACAAATCTTGAAGCTGGGATTCACTGTGGTCTACACCACACTTTAATCTAGAAACAAGTGATGTTTCGGCAGGAGGAGAATGCAGAAAGTTGAAGCTGACCCAAAATATCACTCACAGACTCACTGAGCTTCAAAGACCTTCCTTCTTCTTCCCAGTGTGATTCACTGGGCCTTAGTCTTCAATTACCATCTTTTGTGGGCAGACTAGGGCTCAGAGGGCACTGGGGACAATTGTAAGTGCTGCATCTTCACAGGAATGCCAATGTCTGGTCCTCTTGGAACTGGGTAAAATTAACACTGTATATTCAACAGCATCTTGACAACTATTACAGGCCCTATTCACAGTTCTTCTGATTGGCATTAAAATGAACAGTACGAATATAACTAGAAATGAGTGTTCTATAGGTGTATAGCATAGGGATTTCTCATTGAATGGCGATATTTATTTTAGCAACCAGGCTGCCATACCATAGTGGGAATTTTATTAAGACTCCACACAACTTTCTCTTTGAGGACACCAAGGAAGAGTAAAACATGATCGACATTAGAATTCCTGAGCAAGTTGCCTAACCTTAATGAACCTGTTTTCTAAACTAAAGGGAGGAGCACAGGGAGCAAGGTAGTGTTGTGAGAATGAAATCCTATTCCTAGCCAAATACTGGTGCGGCCCTAACCAATTTGGCTCAGTGGATAGAGCGTCAGCCCACAGACTGAAGGGTCCCAGGTTCAATTCCGGTCAAAGGCATGTACCTTGGTTTCAGGCACATCCCCAGTCGGGGGTGTGCAGGAGGCAGCTGATCAACGTTTCTCTCTCATGATGTTTCTGACTCTCTAATCCCTCTCCCTCTCTGTAAAAAACATAAATAAAATATATATATTTTAAAATATTGGTGTGGCATTGAGCTCCCTTCTTTTCCCTCCCTGTCAAGTTTTCTCTGCTACTCTTATGAAGTGAAAATCCCAACGTTTTCATAATTAAACATGCTGCACTCTAAACTCCTCTATTTGCTCAGTTGGGGTCAGAGTACCATTTTCTATGTTCCCATCCCGCCAAAAAAAACCCCTCTAAAACCAAACAAAAACATAAAACCAGAGTTCCTGAAAGGCTGGATTCAAAATTGAAACAGTTTATTTATTTATTTTTCAATTTCCTGGTTGGTCAGTGGCATCTGGCCACAATGACCCAGTGGGTAGTCATCAAAACTAAAGAAAGTGAACTTTGGTGGAAAACATTTTGGTAAAAGTTTCCACCATTCATTTTTAGCCCAGGACTGCCTATTCGTATTCACCATTTCCTGTTTTATTGCAGTGTTCCTTGTGGTGGAAAACTGACAGTGAAATAATATTAAGTGTCCCAAAGTAGATGACTATGCTTTTACTAAAGGTTCTCAAAGCAACTTGGTGCCAAGGAGGAAATAGAAGTTTTTATGAGATTTTATTTTATTTCTTATTGATTGGTTTTGAGAGACAGAGAGGAAGGGGGAGAGAGAAACATCAATTTGTTGCTCCTCCCATTTATGCCTTCATTGGTTGATTCTTTCAGGCCCTGACCAGGATCGACCCCACAGCCTTGGTGCATCTGGATGAGCTACTTGGCCAGGGCTTGAAAATTTTATATATCAGAACAGAAAATGATTGCGTTTGGTGGGATTTGTGGAGGGCTGAGCTCTGAGGAAGAACAACTAGATATGTGTGTTTGGGGGCGCAGGGGAGATGCCACCAGAACCCAAGAACTGAGCCTGGGGCCTTCCCGCATCCATAGGGAATCCTAGGCATTTAGGCTTGCGCCTTGCAGGGCCCAGGGCCTTGGGCTTCAGAATGGGCACGCTTGCCAAGCTGGAATCCTGAAAAATCTCACTAGCAAGTCTGCGAGGACTTTACATGAGCACCCAGACCTCAGAAACAAAGCAGAGCCACAACAGAGCATTCTCTTTCTCTCCCCGGTACAGCATGTGCTTAGGCTGTATTCGTGTTTGTGTTAGCTGCTCACCCTCTTCTGGTTTTTAATACAATCATGGCTTTATGCTACATGGCATCCCAAGCCCTGCCTCCAAATAACACCAGCACTTGTGAAGTGGATGGCTGATGAGGACAAAGGAGGTTTTCAGAGAGCATTCAGAAGTGACATGGACAAAGCCACAGAGGGCTGGCTCAAACGAGAGGGACAACTGAGAAGGCGCTGTCACCAACAGAGGCAAAATTGTGTGATTTAATCCAGCCAGTGGCATCCCAGGAAAAAGCAAAAGCCAGCAGGTCCACTTGAGGCTAGGATCTGAAGAGTTTTGCAAACAAGAAATTGGACTTGCCCCAGAACCAGCAGAGATGCTTATGGGTAAATGATAGGACATTTACCTTTCTATATTGAAGTGCCTGGCCCCCTCAAAAACGGAGGCCCATTGCAGTGGGTAATGCAGCACAGATAATAGGCTCGGTGCCCAAGGACCACCTACCTGTGAGTTTGTTCACACACCAACTTCTAGACCCCACCTAAGCGATTCTGACTCTGGGGTGGGGCTGAAATCTAAGTATTTTATTAACAACTGGTGCTCATGTTGATGCTGGTCTATAGGCTGCACTTTGACAGACACTGCTCTTAAAGCTCCACCCATTTCTCTAACCCAGAAGTTGACATTCCAAGCCTCCTTTTGTATACAGTATGTTAAGTGCTTACTTTGGAGAAATTTCTTGTTTCCTGAAAAGTGCTTAAAACACAAATTTCTCTTACAAAATGCTATGGCAGCGAACTTTACCCTATACTTCAATGGTTATTTTTATTGAGGATCTACCAGATGCTTCAAGTACAGAGGGGCTCAGATGGACTAAATTATCTGCTGACATTCATTTTTCAGTGCTGGTTCTGAGGTGCCTCATGATGGAGTGAATATTTTCCAGAGCTCCAGAAACTTCTTTTGGCTGGCCATGTGGGCTCCTAGTAACAAGGGCCTCATCTGGCCATAGAATTGCAATTCACCCCCATCACAAGGGACCCCTGCTACCTGGCTTTCTTCACAAGCAGGCTCTGGAGTGTGGGGGTGTGCATGTGTCCTTTTGTGTGGCTACCCAGCAAGGGCTGGACTGGAGAAAATCCTGCACTGACAAGCCCTGGCACTGAACCTTATTAACCGTGAATTTTTAGGTAAGATAGAAACACCTATTTATTGGCTATGTGCTCCAAGACAGTGTTTGGGTCCATTACTAGGAATGATTTTTAAAGGGCATCTAGAAGAGGAACATTCAGATATCATATGACCCAGCAGTTTCATTCCCAGACCACAACAGAAATGCATGTGTATATTCATCAAAAGATGGGCTCAAGAATCTCCACATCAGGACTCTTTATACGTTTCCATAATCAGGCATCTAGTGCACAACCCTAACTTCATAAATGAGGAAGCTGAGGCCCAGAGATATTAAGTAACTTGTTCAAGGCCAACCAGCGAGTGCTATTGCTAGTGCACCCTTCCGAGTGGATGCACAGTGTCCATGTGTGGGTTTGGGGAATACTAGTTTAGATAAAGCCAAAAGGTAAAGGAGTGAAGAAAGAAAGAGGCCCAGCTGGAGTGGTTCAATTTGTTGAGTGTCGCCTGTGCAACAGTTGGGGTGCGTAAGGAAGGCAACCGATCTGTTTCTATCTCAGATCAATGTTTCGGTCTCCATTCCCCTCTAAGCTTGGAGAGGTGAGGATTTAAAATGGAAAAAGAGAGAGCTCAGCAACTTTTATTTGCCGACCAGTCATCTGCCCCTTTTCACTGTTGTCCTGTCTCTTCCTCCCTCTCCCTACAAATGCAGTTTTGTGAGGTTCTGATGCCTGGAGCTGCTACAGCCATCTTGTGGCCAAGAGTGGAGATATACCCGATACCCTGATGATAGCGGAGTGGATGAGAGTCTGTGTTCTGAGGGCCTCAGTGAGCCTCTGCACCTAACCCCAGATGTCTTAAGCAAACCATAAACACCACTGTGGTCTCAGACAGTTTAATTGGGATCCCTGTAACAGGCAGCTGAATTCATCCTTAGAGATTCAGAAGATGAGGAATAT